TACAAGAGAGGAGGAAAAAAAGTAAAAAACGGTCACACCTCTTTTCCATAAGTCAATGGATGGTTTCATGCTATGTCAGACTGGCCCCTTCCCTCTTCTTTTGATGCTTTCTGCATCACTGAATATTTTACCCTTTGAATTTTTTAATTTTGTAAGTCAAGGCTTGAATTTTTTCTTCTTCAGTTCTTTCATCTTGAGTAATGCTAAGTGTGTTCTTCCCTTTGGATTTTTTAACTCCAGGTTTTGCACATTTCATTATAATATTTGACTTTGTCTTCTCAAGCTGCCCTTTGAAATTTTCTGTTCAGCTCTCTTTGTCTCCTCAATTCTTCCATTTACTTTAGTGTCTCTACATTAGAGAGTAAGTTTCAGAGTCTCTTCTGACATCCATTTTGGTCTTTTCCAGGTCTTCCTAATGATAATATGTTTCCCTAGTGTATGATGTTCTTAATGTCATCCCATAACTCTTCTGGTCATTGGTCATTAGTATCTAATGCATCAAATTTGTTTTTGAGATAACTGAATTCCAGTGGGATATGCTCAAGGTCATATTTTGGTTCTCATGGACTTGTTTTCATTTTCTTCAGCTTCAGCCTGAATTTGCATGGGAGCAATTGATGATCTGTTCCACAGTTGCTCCTGGTCTTGTTTTTGCTTATGATATTGAGCTTTTCCACCATCTCTTCCCACATATGGAGTCAATTTTATTCCTGTGTGTTCCATTCGGTGAGGTCTGTGTCATTTTAAAAAGGTATTTGCAAAATTCTATCATGCTATCTCCGGCATTCGATGGCAATTAACAACAAAACAACAACATCTCCGGCATTGTTTCTGTCACCAAGGCCATATTTTCCCACTACTGACCCTTCTTCTTTGTTTCCAATCTTTGCATTCCAATCACTAGTAATTATCAATACATCTTGATTGCATGTTTGATCAATTTCAGACTGAAGGAGTTGATAGAATTCTTCAATTTAATTATTACTGGTTTTAATGGTTGATGCATAAATTTGAATAATGGTTTTAACTGGTTTTCCTTGTAGGCATATGGATCTCATCTTATCACAGACAGCATTATACTTCAAGATAGATCTTGAAATGTTCTATTTGATGATGAATGTGATGCTGTTCCTCTCAAATTTGATACCAGCATAGTAAATCTTGTCGTTGTCAGATTCAGAATGGCTAGTTCAGTTCATTTCAGCTCACTAATGCCTAGTATATTGCTTTTTATGCATTCCATTTCACTTTTCACAGCTTCCAATTTTCCTAGATTAGTACTTCATACATTCCACATTCTGATTATGAATGGATGTTTGCAACTGTTTCTCTTCATTTAGAGTTCTGCTCCAACAGCAAGTGTCACTCCATTCTTGACATCACCATCAAAGTCACTTTGAGGAATCAGCTCTTCCTCAGTCAAATTTTGAGTGCCTCCAACCTGAGAGGCTCATCTTCCAGCACTGTATCTGACAATATTATGGTGTTATTCATAATGTTCCAATATTCAAATCATTCAACCTCATGGTTGGTTTGAACCACAAGATTGGCTGTTCAAACTCACCAGCTGCCCCTGGGAAACCCTACACTTGCCATGAGTTGAAATCAACTTGAAGGCATTTAACAACAACAATCTGACAGTGTTACACGGCCAAGTTCATAAAGTTTTCAGTGGCTAAATAGTCTGTCTGTCTTTCTTGATGGACTTGTTGATATTTAAAATACTGTTGGTATAGCTTCCAGGATCACAGCAACATGCAAGTTACCACAGTACGACAAACTGATAGATGGCTGGCGGATCGTAGTAGTATTAAAAGACATCCTAAGAAATCACCTAGATTCAACATATAATCTTCTTTACCGCTATTATGAAATGTCAGTCAAATTTCCCTGGGGTAATCATGATCAATCACACTATCCAATACATTCTTTGCTTGTTGATAAAGAGGCATGAGAAGTACAAAATGGCTAGGAGGCATTCCTAATTTCCATTTCAATGGAGTCAGTGCTTTGTCTCTAGGTGAGCATATTCCTCATTTAAAAACTAAAATGTCCAACTCTAAATAGCATAGGGTAACAGAGACAGGGAGCAAAAATTTTTCAGGTGGGTCACTAGGAGTAATAGAGGGTGATCCCACTCCCATTTTCACTCCTTTATTCCTGGACTTGTGAAACCTGCTATTGGAGAAACAGCATGATATATTTGATGCTGGTTTAAATTATATACAGTTTCCTGGAGAACACTGTCCCAACCCTGCAAGTTATTGCCTCCTAGCTATCCCCATAATTGTGTCTTTAAAAGGCTGTTCCATTGTTTGATCAAGCCAGCTTCTCCTGGATGTTGATGAACATGGTAAGACCTGTGAATTCCATGAGCATGGGCCCAGGCCATTACTGCATTTCATTTACTCTGGGGTGGATTCTTTGATCCGAGGTAATGCTCTGTGGGATACCATGACAGTGAATAAGGCATTCTGGCAGAAACATTGCATGCAAGGATAAGCAAGTGTCTCAAGGCCTCTTCACTTTCAGCAAGAAAGGTATGTCATTTGCAATTTGCAGGTTGTTAATGAGCCTTACTCCAATCATAATGCCATGTTTGTCTTCATATAATATAGTTTCTCTGATTATTTGCAATAATAATCATAATGCACACATTTCCTGATTTTAAGCCATTCAATATCCTGTTGTTCTGTTGAATGACTATTTCTTGGTCTATGTACAGATTCTGTATGAGCCACAATTAAGAGTTCTGGAGTTCCCATTCTTTGCAATGTTATCCATAGTTTGTTACTGACAAGTTCCTTTGCATTAGTCAATAAAACACAAGTAAACATCTTTCTGGTATTTCTTGCTATTAGACAAAACCTATCTGACTCTGAAACTTGCTCTCCAGTGTAGAGAAGCTAAAGCAAATGGAAGAATTGAAGAGGTCCAAGAGGTCCAAGAGCTGAATAGAAAATTTCAAAGGTCAGCTCGAGAAGATAAAACCAAATACTATAATAAAATATGCAATGATTTAGAGTTGGATAACCAAAAGGGAAGAACACGGTCAGCATTTCTCAAGCTGGGGGAACTAAAGAAAAAATTCAAGCCTCCACTTTCATTATTAAAAGATTCTCTGGGCAAATTATTGAATGATGCAGAGGGCATCAAGAAAAGATGGAAGGAATACACAGAGTCATTGTATCAAAAGGAAATGGTTAATGTTCAACCATTTCAAGAGGTACCATATGAACAAGAGCCAATGATACTCAGGGAGGAAGTCCAAAATGCACTGAATGAATTGGCAAAGAACAAGGCACCAGGAATTGATGGAATAAAAATTGAAATCTTTCAAGAAAGTGAGGCAGCACAGGAGGCACTCACTCATCTCTGCCAAGAAATTTGGAAGACAACTATCTGGCCGACCGATTGGAAGAGATCCATATTTTTGCCCATTCCAAAGAGAGGTGACCCAACGGAATGCGGAAATCATCGGACAATCTCTTTGATATCTCAAGCGAGTAAAGTTTTGCTCAAGGTAATAGAGAAATGGCTACAATCATACATTGACAGAGAACTTCCAGAGGTTCAAGCTGGATTCAGAAGAGGCCGTGGAATGAGAGATATCATTGCAGATGTCCGATGGATCTTGGCTGAAAGCAGGGAATATCAGAAGGATGTTTACCTATGCTTTATTGACTATATATTCCATCTGGCATGGTCCACATGTATAGTCACCATTTATGTTATTGGAAAAATATACTTGCAAATAAGTTGTTGGTCTTTGAAAATTCAGGTTCTCTCCAGTGTCACTTGTATCACCAAGGCCATACTTTCCAACTGCTGATCCCTCCTCTTTGTTTCTAGTTTTTTCATATCAATCACCAACAATTATCAATACATCTTGATTTCATGCTTGGTCAATTTTGGACTGAAAAAGTTGGTAGAACTCTCCAATTTCTTTATTTTTTTGGTGGTTGGTACATAAATTTGGAGAATAGCTATATTAACTATCTTCCTTGTATGGGTATAAATATTTTCCTTTCAAAGACAGCATTGCACTTTAAGATAGATCTTGAAATTTTCTTTGTAACAATGAATGTAATACTATTCTCCTTGAATTTGTCATTCTCAGCATAGTAAACCATATATTTGATGCTAAATGTCCAATACTAATCCATTTTAGTTCATTAATGTATAGTATATAGATCTTTATATATTCCATTTCATCCTTTTACAACTTATAGTTTTCCTAGATTCATACTTTGTACATTCCATGTCACAATTATTAATTGATATTTGCCAGTATTCTCATTTTGAGTCATGTCCCATCAACAAATGAAGGTCTCAAAAACTTTGCTCCATCCAAATCATTAAGGTTCACTCCACTTTGAGAAGGCAGCTCTTCCTTAGTCATATTTTGAATGCTTTCCAACCTGAGGGGCTCATTTTCTGGCACTGTATCAGACAGTGTTTCATTGCCATTCATAGGGTTTTCAATGACTAATTTCTAGTAAGTGGACTGCCTATACCTTCTTCATAGTCTGTTTTTAATCTGTAAGCCCTGTTGTGGGCGACCCTGCTGGTATTGAAAATCCCAGTTGCATAGTTTCCAACATTACAGTAACACACAAACCACCACAGTATAACACACTGACAAAAAAGGGTATTGTAAAGACTGCAGGCCAGAAAACCCTTTGGGACAGTTGTATTGTGTCATGTGGAGTCACTATTAGTGGACAGTCAACTTGGAAATACTTAACAGTAATAACAGTATTATTAGTGGCAATAAAGACTAATGTTTAGGAATACAAACTTTGGAGTCTCATAGATCTGAATTTTCTTTAGGTTTTTGCCATTAAATTGTTACTGAACCTAATTAGTAAAATGAGTATAATGCTAAGTGAGAATTTAGTTTGGTAATGAACATTGTATGTGATTCCCGTATGCTTAATCCTGTGAATTTATGTTATTCTAAAGGATCTTTTTATCTCATTAACTTCTTTTTTATATAGTGAGCCATTCATAATATTTTCTGGTGGACTGTCCTATGACAAAGCTTGTAGAAGACCAAGTTTAACCATCATGCATGGAAAAGCAATTACAGTACTTGAAATGGATCATCCCATTGTTGAATTTCTAACTTTATGTGAAACACCCTATCCAAATGGTAAGTAGCTAAAATGAAACTTTTAATGTTAAAAGCTCACTTTTGGAATGGTAAATGACACATTTCTAACAAAATTAAGCTTAAATATTTTCAGTTTTGGCAGCTGACAACCACCGTGCTACAACAGTGTGAGCTAAAGGTGCTGAAGCAGGTTCTGCAACTGTACCTACTTGACAAACTGGAAGTAAGACAGATGTAGTTGCAGCACTGCTGGAATTTCAGGGTTCTAATACCAGGTAAGTGCTTTAAACTTTGATAAGGATGGTGGAAGCTGAGCTGGGAGGGTCCGATAGGGGTCCAGGGTGAAATCACTTGGGGTCACTGGGGTCTCCTAATAGCCTTTCCTAGTCCAGCTCCACCCATCCCATGCCAAAGCCAATCAAAGTTAAAGCACTTACCTGATATCAGTGATCTGGAACTATGGAGGTGCTGCAGTCACATCTGTTTTACATCTGGCTTTGCATCAGATACAACTGCAGCACCTCTGAATACTCTAGGATTGCTGATGTGTGGTTAGTGATTTATGTCAATTTAGAGAATAATTACTAATAAGGCTTTTGGGAGGAGAGATGCTTATTTATTTTAATCACCCCGAACATAAGTTAAGACTCTTTGTAAACATAATAACTAATCTAGACTTATATGTGAGCTTAAACTTTTAAGTAATAAAGTCTAAAAATCAAGAAGGATGAAGGGATTAAAAGGGAAATATGAGTTTATGATTGAATGTACATGCACAACACTGTGTGTATATACATTACTAAATTGTCAAGAGGGAACATGATGATATAGGAGAAAGAGCACTGGACTTGGAAACAATATTTGGTTTATGTTTTAGGTCTGACACTAGCTATGTGACTTTAGACAAGTCAGTCTGCATTTATGAGTTTGATCATTTATAGTAAGAGGATAATAATATCAGTACTACATGATTATTACAAGGTCAAACGTAAATGTCTTTATGAGCTATAAGATATATGAGATATATGTTTCACATTATTTAATTATAAATATAATATATTAAATTCTCCTGTCTCATGTTTAAAATATAGGATAAATTGGTATGAAATAGCTCTGAGTTCCTAGGGATAGGTAACTTACCTATGTAGTTAATTGGTTTTTTTGTGTGTTTTTTTAAAAAAAGGTTGTTGGTTATTTCTATGGCTTCAATAAGCTCTGGTAGTGTAGTGGTTATGAATCGGGCTGCGAACCTTAAGGTCAGCGGTTCGAAACTACGAGCTGCTCCGCGGGAGATAGATGAGGCTTTCTACTCCTGTAAAGATTTACACCCTTGGAAACCCTGTACAGGGTCGCTATGGGTCGGAATCGACTCGACGTCACTTAACAACAACAATAATAAAAGGACTTCTTGGAAATACAGATGAAGTATGAAACTGATCTCTGATGTCAAATTGGAAAAAAAAAAAATCTGGTCCAGTGAGGGCAATAACTATAACTTATCAAATTAAACAGAAAAAGAAGTCCATAATTCAGTGCTGAATTATATGGTTCAGACAGTACATAAATACTAACTTTGCAAGCTACTTAGACAGTTGATGATTGGAGTATTCATGCAAAATTTCATGGAGAAAGTAGGACTTAGTTAGGTCTTGAAGAATGACCCATTTCTTTAAAAGGATATTGAATAAAGATTTTAGAAACTATGAGATTTGCTAGAGTGAAATAAAATTATGAAGAAACTTAAAACCTTTGGAAGTGTTTGGAAATAGGCAGCTACAGAGAAATTTTGAGAAATTTTGAAAGAAAGCACTCCTTTAGGAAGATTCACCTAAAAGGAGTACATAGGATTAAAGAGAAAGACATTTAAATCCAAAATTCTATATTCCACGTGGGAGAGTTGTAATGCTGAACATTTAAAATGGTCAGGATCTGAAAGGAGGTGCTAACTAGGAATAGAAAACAACTGGATTAGGAAGTGATGAACAACTGGATTAGGAAGTGAGATGATCAATGAGATGGAGCCCTGGTGGCCTAGTGGTTAAGCACTCAGCTGCTAACCAAAAGGTTAGAATTTCATACCCACTAGTTGCTCCATGGGAGAAAGATGAGACAGTCTGCTTCCTTAAATATTATAACCTTAGGAACCCTATGGGGAAAGTTCTCTGTCCTGTAGTACCACTATGACTTGACAGAAACAAGCTTGGTTTATTTTTAGTGATTTATTATTATTATTTGCAACAGCTTTTAAAAGGAAATGAAGATGAGTTTGATTGTGAATCAGTAGAATTGTTTAGAGACCAGAAAAGAGATTTATAATTGTTAACTTATAAATCATGAAAATGTGGATGTTCTCTGAGTTATAAGGATGAAGGATTGAGGAATATAGGCATAAAAGAACAGAGGACAAAAGGCTCAGTTCAGGGTAAATGCCTCCTATTAAGTCTAGAGGAAGAAGATGGGCCAGCAAAAAAATCTGAGACTGTGTAACTGCAAAAATCAAACACCCTATGTGTGTGTCTGTGTGTGTGAAATGTTAGGCCGTTTTCTAATTATGTTCAATAAATTATAAATGTACTGTAACCATGTCTGCTTGCTACTAAACCACATAGATAAATCATTCTTTTTTTCAGAGAGGCAGTAGTAAGGGTGAAACTTGCATTTGCCAGGCAAGAAGTTTTAAGTTTACTTAGTAAAATATAAATATTTTATTATTTCTAATAAAGGCAGTAATGCATGAAAATGGCAAAAAAGAAGTCCTCCAATTAAAAAACATTTACAGTTGAAAGTTTATTAGTGTCCATCCAAAACAACCACTGTTATTAATTTTCTTATGTATGTCTCTCCAAATAATCTATGTTATAGGAGAGGTCTTCAAAAAGTTCATGGGAAAATTCCATCATCTTTTAATTCCATTTTCACATGAACTTTTTTAACCCTCTCATATTAATACATTATCTTTTTTATACAAATGATTAAATACTATATTACTATTCTGTATCATACATTTTTACGTAATTGTTGTTGTTGTTATGTGCCGTTGAGTTGGTTCCGTCCCATAGCGACCCTATATAGGGTTTCCAAGGAGTGACTGGTGACAGCATTTGTTAATTATGAATGCGTATTATAAAATATGGAACTTCAATCTTCTTTAAACTGTATAGTGGTAAAGGTTATACAGATATTAAACAAAATAAATTTAATGAAAATGATATTAATGTATAATTTATGACATCTAACAATTCAGTCCATTTTTAAAAGAACACAAGTTCTTCCGTGTAGATTCTATACTTAGATTTGTCCATTTCAAAACTAGATTTAACTATATCCAGTCCTTACTCATTTTTGCCAAGAAATTTAGAAGAAAGCTAACTGGCCAACCAATTAGAAGACATCCCTATTTCTTCCAATTTCAAAAAGAAGTGATCCAATGGAATATGGAAATCATTGCACAATATCATTGATAACACATACAAGTAAAATTTTGCTGTACACAGACCAAGAGGCAGTTAGTCAAGCACAACAAGGAGATACTGAGTGGTTTAAAATCAGGTAAGGTGTGTGCCAGGCACAACCATGTTTATTGAATCTGTGTGCTGAGCAAATAATTTGAGAAACTGCTTTATGTGATAAAGAACGTGGCATCTGAATTGGAGACTGATTAACAATCTGTGATATGCAGGTGATACAACTTGCTTGCTGATGAAAATCAAAGAACACAGCCTTCAATATGGACTGTAAATCAGGACTCCAATATGTACTGCATCTCACTGTAAAGAAAACAAAAATCTTCACAACTTGACCAATAAACAATAAATTAATATCATGATAGATGAAGAAAAGATAGAAATTGTCAAAGACTTAATTTTCATTGGATCCAAAATCAACATTAATGGAAGCAGCAGTCAAGAAATCAAATTATGTATTGCATTAGGCAAATCTTTTTTTTAAAAAAACCTCTTTAAAGCTTTAAGGAGTAAAAATATCAGTTTGAGGACTAAGGTGCGCTGGACTCATGCCATGGTATTTTTAGTAGCCTCATATGCATGTGAAGTTGGACAGTGAATAAAGAAGACCATAGAAGAATTGATGCATTTGAATTATGATGTTGAAGAAGAATATTAAAAGTACCATGGATTGCCAGAAGAACAAACAAATCTGTTTTGAAAGAAGTACAGCCCGAATGTTCCTTAAAAGTCAGGGTGGCAAGACTTTTTCTCTCATACTTCAGACATATTATCAGGAGGGACTAATCCCTGGAGAACTTCTTTTTGCTTGGTAAAATGGGAGCATAAGTGAAAATGAGGCAAACCCCCAATGAGATGGAATGGTATAGTGGCAGCAGCAATGTGCTTAAGTGTGACAACAATTGTGAGGATGGGGCAGGACCAGGTAATGTTTCATTCTTTTGTACATAGAGTTGCTCTGAGTCAGAGTTGATGCACACACACCTTACAAGTCCTCTTCAAGCATCACAAATGACACTATTTGGAGAAATAATAATTCTTCTAGAAGCCTTTTACCTTGTTGGGGATTATGGTTAGAAGACTAAGCCTACTCAGGAATAGATCTGTCAAAATAGTGAAGGAAGTAATACAGACAAGCATCTACAATTGTATTAGGTTTCTGTTTAATACCCACTATATGCTAGGTTTTGCATTAGACATTTTTTTAAATGTTTTATTATGAATTATGTGATAGTTTACATGGGAGAACATTAGTTTTACATTCATCCTATCGTATATCGTTTCATTGCCATGATTACAGTGCCCTTCATGCATCATCAACCAACCAAAAGGCATACCCTGCAAGTCTGCCCCCAGTCGTCAGCACACATCCCCTCTCCCTCTCTGGGTCTAAAGTCCCTGGCTGCTCCATCTCTCCACATCATCGTCTCTACCTCCATCTCTGGTGTCACTACTTCTCTGGTTAGGGTCCTGCTCTCTGCTCTTCTCCCTTGATGCTTCCAGGGACCTCTGCTCTTAGACTTCAAAATTAATCACTCCCCTCCTTGCTATAAAATGTCTACCTTTACATTTCCA